GCCGGGAGCCAGTGGACACCGGGACCGGCACCCCCGGCCCCTGCTCCCCGGCCCCGGCCCCTCGCCCACGCTCGCGGTGGCGCCGAGGCCCCGTGGCGGGAGGCGCCTGGTTACGGGGCCCGGGGTGCTGCTTCCATCCCCACTGGGCTGGTGCCGGTATCGGCTCCCCTCTTCCCAACATCCCTCCCCAAAATAAAAGAAGTTCCACTTCCAAGCAAAGGAGGACGCCGGGAAGCAGCCCCTCGCGCCGCGGGCCCTGTGGCCGGGGCGCTGGGMCAGGGGGCTCGGGCCGGCTCCCCGCTCTGCAGCAGCAGCAGAGGGTGCCGCGAGTCTGGGGTCGAGCAGAAGCCTCAAAACTTTATTTACATTGCTTACTGTATTATCGCTTTTTACTAGATGCTGCTATTAGTACATTCATTACATTCATGTACACAAAATAATTAGCTACTTTTATGTAAAGAGTTCATTTTTAAAAATATCCCTCTGTTTGACTATCCTTCCCTATTRAGCTGCCTTTAATTATCTTCCCCTTCTCCGACTCCATGTTTTCTTTAATATGCAAACAGCGCTACAGCATTTGTCATGAGGCAGCAAACCACATTGTTTTTGTTTTGTCACTAAATAGGTGCACTTAAACACAGGACTTTCAGCTTCTTTCCACTTCTATATTTTATTTTATTTTATTTTATTTTATTTTATTTTATTTTATTTTATTTTATTTTACTTTATTTTATTTTAATCTCACACAAAATAAAATATTCTGGAGTAGATTTTTATTTGGCTAATGCTTGCCACTTAACTCCTGACTGCTGTCTGCCGCATAGTTCCTTTCTGGTTGGTTTCGGAAAGAATAAATGAAAAACAATCAGATTAAACAATCCTTTATTTCTTCATCTTTTTTTTTCAGGAGTTAGGAATCTTCAGTCCTATAAAATGGGGTCTAGAAATAGAAATCTTGGCTTTAATCTATCTATGCTATCAAAGAATTTCTGATCCACATTTCTGCAGTTCTGACTGCAGGTGGCTTATGATATGCGAACAGGATTCAGATAGAGGTGCTGATAATGCAACAGAAGATGAAAAATCCACTATTTCCATCTAGTGGTGAGACAGTGTGTCTGGCTCTGAAGTATACAGAGATGTAGCTATCTACCTGTGCAGAAGGTTGCTGCCTATCTGAATCCTCCTAGAAACCTTTCGTTTAATTCAATTTCTTTGCGATTTTCAAGTCTAGGCATGTAAATTCATATAAGATTATGTAAGATTACCTTTTTYTTAAGGAAAGAGAATCTTACGTTTTTACTTTTTTTTTTTTTTCTGAAAATAGTTAACATCTGTTTCATTATTTTAAAAAATCTAATGTTCTGAATATTAATCCTATGATGAAAGGACCTGTCAATGCCACACTTTGAAAATTCATTGAAACAGAGTATAGCTCTGAAATCTGCGATATTAACACAGCAGAGAAAGTCTACTGGGTGTGACCAGAGATATGTCCTTCTGGGTAAGACACATGCAGTATGTGCCACAAAGTGTATGTGTGTATATATATATATATCTTTTTTTAATTATGACACTGTAGTATATATTGGTCTAACATTTCAAGGATGAGGGAACTCATTTCCCTACTCTGGGAGCAAAACATAAAAAGGTTAGATATCCAGAGATGCTTAACCCACTGGGATATCTCCTTGTAAATCGTATTCCTGCCTGATAGAAGGTTGGCATCAAGGTCAGGGGTTTCCAAGCATCGCATATGTAGCCTCCTCTCCTGCCTAGATGTACCCAAAAGAAGTAGCAAATTGATATATTCATCCTTCAATACATTGATTTTTTATGTTATATATTGCTGTTTCAGSGCAGACAGATGTTCTCTGAGAGAAGTTTTGTTTCTCTCCAGGTTGGGCCATGCATTTATACTCCAAGAGAAAAGAATCAAATTTACATTGCGAGCTGCACATTTTCCTTTGAAAACTGGTTGCACGGASAGCACGTAGCCACAGCGAGAAGCAACCACCGCTTGGGCCTGTCGGAGAGGATGTTTTCCCAAGGCGGTCCAGCCTTTGGCTCTCGTAGGAGGCAGGATATTGCACTCCTTTATTACCAGCACCAAAGAAGAAGGACAAGGGAAAGGAGAGCAAAGAGACCTTCGCCCCATTGCTTTGGGCAAGCGTGCATGGCGTAGCTGTGCTGCATCCGATGGCAGAGCCGGGAAGCTGCGGCCAGCGCAGCTTGAGGTTTCTCTTCACGTAGCCATAGCCTCAGCCAAGCCAAATTTGGTCTTTCAGAGCCGTAATACCTGTTGCTTGGGCAGGGCAGAGCTCCACCGCCTCTTCTGCAGTGTATCGCTGATCAGCTTGCATAGGAGGTGCAGCTCTTCCCCTAGACCTTTAGTCATTAAAATGCCCATTCCTGATAGTATCACACCTTGCCTTATTGTGTAATGGGGAAGATCTCACCTTCCTTCTAGTATATGTGTACAATACTGCAGCTTTTCTAAGTGCTAGGCTTCTCATAGATGAGATTGCCTCTTAAGAAAGCTCTGAGAAATTGCCAGGTAAGTTGGACAGCACAGCCCATATTTTGCTTTTCAGCCTACACCTAGCTGAAAAAAAGAATCCTATGAATAATATGAATAATCGTTACTCACCTCAAGGTATGAATGAGAGAAATTGCATAGGTAGCATTGCTTTGTTTCTGTTTCCTCACTGTACAAGAGCGGTTTTCCCTTCCCAGACACGTCCTCCTTGGGCAGGCATGATGAAACGTGTTACGGTTGCATATGGCCACGTAGCTGGCACAGGTGAACCCAGGAACTCATTTCTTGGGCAACACTAAACCCAGGATTACGAAGCAGTACATGAAAGTACATGTTTCCATTTGTATGTCAATACACTGAAGATGTTCTAGCATATGAGTATTTCATTACCTCTGAGTTAAGAGAGACAGGCATATCCTGGGTTTTATCGAGAGTTTTTTTACAGTAAATCTCAGTTTTCCAGTCAAAACAAAGCTGTTTTACTCCCTAGCATGGGTTTAACGCTAGACGTTGGGGGTCTAGGGAGGCCTTGTGATGGATGATAGAATCATAGAATGCTTAAGGTTGGAAGGGACCTCAGAGGTCATCGAGTCCAACCCTCCTGCTCACGCAGGGTCACCGGGAGCATGTGGCACAGGGCTGCATCCAAGCGGGCTTTAAAGATCTCCAAAGAAGGAGACTCCACATCCTCTCTGGGCAGCCTGTGCCAGAGTTCTGTCACCCTCACTGTCAAGAAATATTTCCTTAAGTTCCTGTGGAACTTTTTGTGCCTCAGCTTGTGGCCGTTTCCTCTAGTCCTATCGCTGTCCACCACTGAAAAGAGGCCGCCCCCTCCTCCTCACTGCCTCCCTTGAGGTATTTATACACGCTGATCAGGTCCCCCCTCAGCCTCCTCTTCTCCAGGCTGAACASACCCAGCTCTCTCAGCCTTTGYTCATAGGGCAGATGTTCCAGGCCYMTGATCATCCTGGTAGCCCTGCGCWGGACWCTCTCCWGCAGCTCCACATCCCTCTTGTACTGGGGAGCCCAGAACTGGACACAGTACTCCAGATGTGGCCTCACCAGGGCTGWGTAGAGGGGGATGATCACTTCCCTCGACCTGCTGGAGGCGCTTTTCTTAATGCACCCCAGGATCCCGTTGGCCTTCTTGGCCACCAGGGCACACTGCTGCCTCATGGTCAACTTGTCGTCCACCATAACTCCGAGGTCTCTCTCTGCAGGGCTGCTCTCCAGCAGGTCCACCCCTAATCTGTATTGGTGTCCGGGGTTATTCCTCCCCAAGTGCAGGATCTAGGCCTTGTGGCTCAGGCTGTCACACCGGCTGGCTCCTCATGCTCACGCACGGCGTTGTGGCCACTGCAGTGCTGAGCGGAGCTGAGGCCACAAGGCGCCACCGCGTCCACCCCGCGCCCAGCAGCAGGTTCACGACGTGTTCAGAGGGAAGYGCTTGCCAGGAGGGAGGGCAAAACCTGCTGCTGCAACAGCCGGACAGCTCGCCGGCTGCAGCCTGCCCCAACGACACGGGAGGAAGCCCAAGAGCTGCAGTGAGGAGCTCCAGGCTTCACGATCTGGAGGAAAATGACCTGATGTCCATGCTGGGCCAGCACAGTGACATCAGACACAGGAGCTTGCGTCTAATTTTAGAAGCTTTTAGAAATCCTCTTTATTTAGCAGCATCATCTACCCTAATAGTAATCATCCACACATCAGCATGGGAAGATTTTTATTTAGCTTCAGAATTTGATAATCGGCATAGTCAAAAAATGTTGAAGAAGAGATTAGGATGATTTCAAATTGTACATAGCTGTGGCTTGAGCATTAAAAAGACCTTCAATTTGCATAWAGGCAAGGATGATTTCCTCACAAGGAAGATTTTCAGACAGCAACATGAAATAGCTTTTCAGAAAACTTAGAGTATAAAAAGGTAGCCCAAAGCTCTATAAATAAAACCAAATAAAAACACCTTTGCACTTTCTGTGTGGTCTCAAGAAATAACAACATAAGTTGTTTCTAGTCAAATGAACAGAAAACTGATCTAGAGTTAAGTAATGATAAAAGAAATACTTTTGAAAACGACAAATAGCTAGCTTATGAAATTTAGAATCAGACTGCAGAGCAGTCAGCTGGATTTCCGGTGTGTATAAAGTTTTTTAATTGAATTATTTTAGGTAGAGTTTTGCTACTAACATTATTTCACAACTACAAAAATACAATCAGGAAAAAAAAAAATGTTATAATAATTGCACTATTCATTCTCAGGACCCCTCCAAGGAGAGTGTCGTGTATATAGAGAGACCGAGGCCAGGAGCTGCTGCATGCGCTGGCTTCAGGACTTCTCCATGGTCCCCGTGATTCCCCTCCACCTGCTTCCCAGCCCTCGCTTCGTGCTTTCCTTCCTTCCTTCCTCCTTTCCTTCCTTGTCTTTACAACCAACCCACRCCTCTGCCCACACCCGAGTCTGCCAAGCACGGGAATAGGGTTCAGGAGACCTCTGGGAAACCCTGGCTGCAGGCATCTCAGGCAGCTGTGTATTCTGCTCCTCTAGATCTGGAAAGCGTCATTGTACTTGAGTTTATGTCCTCCATTCTTTCTCTAGATCTGATCTCATGTATCCAGCATCAGAGAAAACGTGTAACAAGTAAGAATGACATTGCAGTTCCCTGTGTTTTTCCCCTGCTCCTGCCACAAGAGCTTCTGATACTTTTTCTTTTTGTGCATGCACATGTAGTAAAGGGCAGTCTTATTTGGCTAGTTTATGTGAAGCAAAGGAGAATTAATCTTCCGATTCCTAAATTTGCCATTTCCAGCAAATACTGTAAAACTGAGAAGTAGGTTTGCAAGACGACTTCTATAAAGCCTGTGTAGAAAAAGAGACTGAAAACAAGTAATTTAGGAAGCCTGTGTATGGAACTGTGTTTGAGATGACAAATTGTTGTTTGCCCTTTTATAAGTGGATCACCGTTTTTACAGTAAGGCTGGTACTGGACTCCCCCAGTTTCTTTACTTCATCTTGGACTCCAACTCCAGTGAACGGAAAAAAAAAGTTAACGATCTATCTYACAACTTTAGTGATCGTGTAGAGAAAACTTTGGGGAAAAAACAGAAGCTGCTACGTGTAAGGCTTCTTCAGGTAGGGGCTCTAAGTCGTGTTATATGGTATTTTATTAATCTGGGAAAAAAAAAAAGATCTCCTTTGAAACCCTTCTTCTATTTGATCCATTTTCTAAGATGATCACACCATAAAGCTGGTGGTCTAACACAAGGAGAACAGGCTGCTATCCATCTCAGGTTAAGTAAATCAACTATATGGTTCTTGTGCCCAAATTCATTCGTGTAACCGCCCAATCATCTTACCTCACCCTCTTCATTTATTTCTTCCAAACACAAATAATATAAAATGCCACAAATTCTTCAGCACAGCTCTGCTTTTGCAATGTAATAGCATTAGTTTGATTTCAACACCCTGGTTTAGAAGTCAGCAGGGACCTGCCTTGACTGCCTTGAGAGTGCTGCAATGTACTATGATGTTCAGAACGGACAGTGGCCATTTTGCCATTCTTGGCAAAAATAAAATACATTTCTCTTTAGAAACACAACTTTTATCCTAAATCTGCAGCAAAATTACCTTTGGAAATACATGTACTAGAATTCTGTAATAGTCTGCTGTCTGATTAACAACAGGTAGGACTAATCTCTCTCACCTCAAGACTATCCCATTTGATTCTAGAAACTAAAACTTGAAAGCAGAACCTTCACCTGCAGAGCTGAGGAGAGATCAGTCCTCCCACATACAGGAAACTACAATACAGACCAAGTTTCTCAACACTTGTTTTAATAAATAGTAAGTTTGTATCTATAAGCACAGTCACGCGCTTCCTTTGATCTTTACGGAATATTTAATGAAATTCCTGAAAATTGAGTGACAAAAACATTACAAAACTGAACTTCAAAGACAGCCCTTTCCCCCCACCTGTCACAAACACTAACTTACCTTCCCTTTGAGATAAATTTTCCTACTTTTTTGCAGGATGAGTAGGTTTACTATGTGTTCACAGTCCTATTACCTTGTCACTTTAATTGCTGAGCTAAAAAAAAAAAAAAACCATATTTATCTCATACTTTCTTGGAAAAAAGAGGACGAAAAGGTAGGCAATTAGYAGCAGACATGCAAGGTATTATAAAACCTATGTTGTATTTGCAGCTTCCTGCACCTCAGCTAAAGTCAATGATAAATATAGCGTTTTCTTCAGATACCTGCATTTAATTTTTTTAAGAATTATTAATAGTATTAATCATATATTGCATTTCTCTGGACAGACTATGTTAGAAATAAYGTCTAAAGAGATGCCTTGATTTTCAACATTTATTAATATAATAACTAATGTCCATTACTCATATTCATATGCAAATACATGTGATTTTAGTTCAACACCCAGGCGACCAGCTCTTTAGAAAGATGAACTTGTGCCATAAGCCACTTTGCCCCACTGGTGTTAAAACCTTTGTTGCTCCAGCACATTTCTGTTGAGAAGAGGCAGCAACATTTAAATGGTTCATTCTGCTTCATGTTAAACTGGTCAGCACTTGGCCAACTTGCCCTTYCAGATTTTAGCACACAGGAGAAAARTCTTCGATGCAGCCTGCTGCCTTAGATACATGTAAATGTCAACGTGCGTGTTTGGTTCTTCAGGGATTCTTCTTCTTGCTTTTCTGTTCTGCTTTTTGCTCTTTTGCGTTACATCTGGAGCTCAATGCTGTTAACATCTCTACAGCTGTCAGGTTGGCTCCTTTCATTATCAGTCGGTCTCCATCAGCTGTAAAGGGACAAGTTTTAAGAATTCATAAACTCTAAGCCACAACCGTGTTAGAGGACAGTTCTCTGTCTTGCATGTATAAATCTGCACACCTTGTCCATCTTGTCTCATGAAAAAAATATTCCATTTACCAAAGAACCTGGTTATACAACACTGTAAAAAGTAAACAGCGTATTAGACTGCACACATTACAGACAAMATTTTTATTTCTGGATCGTAACATTCAAAAACCAAAAATGTGTCTCTAGATACACATCCAGAGGAAACATATTTAATCTGAATGGCTCGCCCTATGCTCTCAAAGTCACCTGGCAAAAGGCACAAAAGGGACTAGAAGTCGTAATTTCCACACATGGWTCAGCATTTTAGCAGCCCATTGTACACAGTCTATTTAACTTATTTCTTTAGCAAAACAGTAAATTGGTTGATGTAATCTGGTAGTTGTAATTTTAAAAGAGAAAGCAAAGGGATTTTTAMTGTTCTCAAACAAAACAAACAAAAAACTTTAAAACAGAGAAGGAGCATCAGAAGTATAGCACTCAAATTAACTTTTTGATACATTTGCAAATATAAAAGCCACATATTCAAAGCTCTATAATGCAACACCATGCACAGAATCCAAATTGCAGGCCCATATCTGTCAACTACAAGGACTGTAAACTCTGTACTTGGAAAATCATCAGCTCTTAGAAAGCAAAGAGCTCAGAGTTGTAGCTCTTGGCATCTGTGAAATAAATTGTTTTGGCTTTACACTCTGAAAAACATTAAGCTTTACAATAAATTGTTTTGGTTTCACACTGTGAAAAACATTAAGCTTTACTGCCTAGGTCTTAATACATCAGAGATACAGCCAGGGATGGGAAAGGCAGAGGCATGGCAGAAGGAAGCACAGTCAGCACAGCAATGACAAGTATTTCAACACTCTAGACATCCCTACTTATTCACCAAATACACTAAATCTAAGAAAAGGATCAATAATAATTAAAACTTTAATGGGCTCCATGCCCTATTGGGCTATTAAGGCACAGCAGGAGAGATGCGGCCAGGGAGCAGGACAAGGGCAGATTAAAGCCATCTGTTCCCTGCCCTCACTTTGGGCTGCTTGCAGAACTGACAAAATTTTCACCCTTGCTTCCCAAACTATTCATAGAATCATAGAATGACCAAGGCTGGAGGGACCTCTGCAGACCACACGGTCCAATACATTTTCATTATGCTTTCAGAGAAAACCAGGGTATTTTGTCACAGGTCAACTGAGCTCAGTCTCTAAGTCCTGCATATGAGCAGTGCTGCCCCTGGCAGCTCCTGCTTCCCTCTCAGAAGATACACAGCGAGCTCCACAGAGCCTCTAAGGCTGAGGCCTGAGGCCACTTTCTGGACTTGAAACTAAGATGCCTCTGCCACACACAGCGAGATGGACAGCATGGGAACACAATCTTACACCCAAAGCTACATTCACTAGAATTCTACCTGAGCATCAAGGGCTCCCAAGTATGTCACTTCAAATGTGGACTAACCTAAAATTAAGACAGCTTTGATCTAAGATCCACCAGTTCTAACTATAGTATGTAGATATTTATATATACATAAACACATATTTCTCTATACATTAACCTGTTAATAATTCCCTTTTCCTTTTTTTGTCTAAACTGTACAACATATCTGTCAACTTGAACCAAAACAAAACAACCACACTAAATGAATACATAACACACCCACAACAGCCCAAATATGGAAGGACTTTCCGTATAGATTAAAACTGAAAACCTTACCAAACATGACATCTATAAGTGGTTCAGATCCATCATGTCTCACATCAGTGGTCACTTCACAGTTCCTATTGGTGTCATAGATGTTCTTATGATATATTCGTTGAAGAAATATTCTGAAAATACATTCAAAAATGTAGTAAGTATATTACAGATATTTTTATAATTGATTTCAATAGCTTGATATTGCTAGTTGATCAAAGTATAAATAAGGTTTTTATTTAATAATGCCAGACATGTATTTCTTATGAGACAGCCTTAACATTTGAAGTATATTACATACTAGTGTGGAAAAAAAGCATACCAAAGAATTTTTCAAAAATTCAGTGTATGCACTCTCTGCATTTCTCTGAGTTGGGTTATTAGTAGGAGAAAAGGAAGAATCARCAAAACCATGCTCATTTTTCTTTATACGTTCTCATATATCCTTATATGGGTTTATTGCTTGAATTCAGACTGCATTTAGTTATTTAAGCAATATTTGTTTCCAGAAGATTTCTCACAGGTATGAAACCTAAATCCTGCAGAGCTGAGGGAGCATTAACTCTGTAAGTAGATGGGRAGAGCCAAACACACGTATTTACATGCAAGAGGCTATACTCAGACATGAGGATCCCCTACAAATCTGCTTAAAGCTAATGCTGACTTAAAACTTCCTGACAACGCTCCATATGAGCACAGCCCTTAAGATAAATACAGTGATTCTCGGTCATTATAAAATGTTAAGGTTGCGTCTGCACTAAACCAAACTACAAAGCCAGGCCTCAAAAACCAAGATCATAATAGTCACATAAAGCATACAACAGATGTAAACACTTATTAGAGGGTACTTCTTCTTTGAACAATGAATCATAAAACAAAACAAAAGGTATTTTCTTACAAATTCACTCCCTCTGCTCCTGACTTTCTTCTTAGGACTCCGTGCAAGGTCACAGGGCCCATTAGAGTCCTAAGTTTGAGTTTCAACGCACAGCCTAACTCTTAATGGGTGCCAGCTGGCATAACCTCGGCTCCAGGATTAAAAACAGCAGCACAAACGCGAGCCCGCTGAGGAGGGGACAGGGAGGGGGTGTTCTAYGGTCCAGTGCTGTGGAGGGAGCCGCCAGGCCGGGGGGCAACGACGGCCGCCCCTCTCGGCACGAGGCCCCAGGAGCCGGTCGGCGGGCCCGGGGAGCAGCCCCTCACCTCGTGCTCTCCACGTTGGGCTCGAAGGGGCAGAAGCGGACCAGGATACTCTTCACGGGCCGCAGCGGCACTCGGATCTTGGACGCCATCTTCCTGCAGCTGCACCTACTACAACTCCCAACAGCCCCCGCGCAGGAGGAAAGGGCGCGACTTTACCACCTCCGCGCACGGGATGGCTGGGAAATGTAGTGCAAGGAGCGCGCCCCGCCGGCCGCCATGTTCTCCCCTGCGCTCAGGGCTACCGTTTACCGGTTCCCGCTATCTCTGGAAGTTAATACTTTTTTTTTTTTTTTTTTTCCTTCTCCCCTATATGTTCAGATTCAACAGTTACATAGCTAGCCTTGAAACAAAGGTTTTTAGCTATTCATGTATGTGTTCCTGGCACTCACACGTTTTCCACTAGATGGCGGAAATCTCCTGGATAAATCCTTGCCAGGGTCCCATGASTGTCACGAGTGTTGACATGTTGTTAAGGAGTAGCTGTAGCGGGGGATAAATCCGGGAGCAACAGTCCTTAAACGCATGTGGTGCGTTTCTGTGCAGTAGTCAGTGCAGAGCTGTCCTTCCAACCTACATAAAGTGCCTGGCACCCTTTGGAGAGCATAGCCTGTTTTTATTTATTGGCAGCTCCTTTCCTTTAATCATGTAGTCGTTGAGCACAGTTGTTTTTTTCACTGAGATTYATCTGATGCAAACAAAGTAGAAAAGCTGAATTCAGAGGAATCAATGCTGTTTAAATGTTTTTATTCTTACTTGTATATGCCATAGTGCCCTCTTTAGCCAAAAATGGCTGCTTTCTTTTTAATTTTGCCTGATCAAGATATGAAGGATTAGATCCAGAACAAGACAAATAGTTTGTGTGTGTGTGTGTATTTAAGATGATAAACTTATAAATTACAGAATTTCAACGTAAATTTCTTAGGTATAGCACAAAGATATTTATTCATTCTATTTGAAACCTGTAGCAAATTTTCCATCGGATTCTCTGGCATCATTGCAGAGATGACAACAACAAAGGAACAAAGAAGTGAAATGGTCCCTGATTCTTTTAGCAGCTCCCTTCCACACACTGCTAGTGCTGTGGCACTTACTGACTTCAAAATAAGCATGGCAAAAGTATTTTTATATTTTCTTTTACGGCGTTTTGATAGTAGTTTCATAGGGAACATGCAGAGCTTGGCACAATTCAGTCACAGAATCACAGAATCACAGAGCGACTGAGGTCGGAAGGGGCCTCTATCAATCCCCCTGCTCAAGCAGGGAAAATGAAATGAAAATTCAATGAAAAGGATTTTTTAAAAATTCTCTTTTCCATGGTCAGATTGGTTAACTTTTTAGCATTTAYGGTCAGCGATAGAAAAGTTGAATCTTTCCTCTTAGACTGTCTTTTGCAAGAGTTAAAAACCATCCCTGCTTCTGCATTTTTTTTTCTGAAATTTGAAAGAGTTCTAATAGCATGAAAGGATATATATTTGGTAACTGAAAACTCTGTATTCTTTTCCTCACTTAATGGGCTGAAATGAAACCCCTGAAGCTGATAACTTTGAGTATGAATATCCTGAACCAATATCTTGGCCAAACTTGGTGACAAGCAAGGTTTTTTTTTTTTTTTTTTTTTTTTTTTCCCCTACACTCACATCAAGTACAGAAATCGTAGCTTATGATAATGATCATTCTGGTAAAACGTTCATGCTAACATTTATAGTAACTAAATGAGCCAGTCAGCAAAGTGACACATCTGTTTAAGGAGACCGTCCCTTCATCTCCAACAAGCAACTTGGGAATTCTGAAATATCTGCGTTTGTTCTTTAGGACCATCCCTTGGAAGCTGAATGATTCATGATTGTTGTATCTAGTGATAACCATACACATTCCTAAAGCATAAAAATGCAAAAAAGATTAAAGTGTTATAATATTAAAATAGAAATATTTAATATTCCTTTGATGAGGCTGATCTTTTTTTATGAATATTTTCTCATCCCAACTCTACGGACTTTCATGTCATTAGTTTCATTGAAATCTWGTTATGAGGGTGATTTATATCTAAATATCATACATAGGAATAAAAAAATGAAATTATTTTTATGCTTTTATTATGAAGAATGATAGAAAAAGATTATAATTTTAGTTGGTGAATTTTCCTCTTTTCCCTTGTCTTCTCCCAGTTGTTTTAGATCCAGAGAGAATTCTTATGCTTTTTCCCTTTTATTTATCACTTTCATTTTCTGTAGTTTTTCTGACTACATACAGGCCCAAATTTCAGAGCTCTTGGAATCCAATCTCTCTATAATTTAGGCATGTCTACTTTTTACAACTTGACTCTTTTTTTTTTTTATTTCAATTTTCAGTTAATATCTTCCTTTAAATGATTATGCTCTCTCAGATTTTTTTGTTCAAAACATTTAATGGCAGAGTGCTCTGGATGCTTCATTCTGGGTATGGTATTGGACTTCCATTGGGTTCATTATCTCCCGTACTCCTCAGCTGATCTCTTCCTTTGCATCTTTTTTTTTTTTCCTCATTCTTTCTCTGAGTCCTGCCACAAATGTCTGTAGGCCAGAGATTCAGCAATCAAAATTTCATGTCCACACATCTAGTTACAGCTCCATGGAATGCTGCCTTCAGGGCATTAGCGTCTACTACGGAGAGGTGAGCCAAAGTAAATCCATCGTCCGGCCCGTTTTGCACTGAGGTGATGTTTCCAGACAGGCAGCCAGAAGCGGGTCCTTGRCAAAGACAGCGCGCTGGGCTTGGCACTAAAAGAGAGTCCCTTCTGGAAGCAGAAAACCAGGCTGACAAATGCAATATCAAGAGACATATCTTCGTAAGAGCTGTGGATGGAAAGGGCCGAGATCACAAAGGACTTGAAGGAAGTCATTATGAAATACTAGTGCCACATTGAGGGAAATGTCGGGATAATTTCCTTCAGGAGCATTGCTTATAGTAACTGTGTCATAAAAACATAAACCAGCCTCTGTTTTCTGTCTTGTCTTGTTTCTTCCTTTGAACTGAGTATTCCTACACCCTATGTCACTTACTGAATTTTAAAAATACAGCCTCAAAGAAAAGAGTTTGTTAAGGTCCCTTTTTCCCTCTGGAAACTGAAGAAGTTAAAAATAACTTTAAACCAATAGCGTACTAATTTTGTGTGTCATTTATAAATTTACTAATAATTTCCTGCTACTAATAGCATTTTCAGAAATAAAATTAAACTCAACTAATGAAACTACCCCTTAAAGCAAGTTTGTTTTATAACTCATTCTGAAATAGTAACTCTGCATATGAGCGAAGCAAAGCTTTTATGAGAGCAAATAAACAGATTCCCTAGCTGCTCTTTACTCCTCTGCAAACAGACATTTCTATTGCCTGAAGTTAACAGCTGCTAGCAGAAATGTTTGCTAAAATAATGTGCAGTATTTAACTGGCAAAGAACATATTGTGCCTGTTCCTCACTTTTATAGCTTAACTTCTTGATAATACTGGATGATGATGCTGGAGTCCTTCAAGCTACACCTTCAAATGAGAAAGATCAAAAGCTTTCCTTCACCTGTTTTTCTTTTCTGTGTAATAAATACCACATTGAATACATGCTGCTATCATTTGGGTGTTTTCATGCTGATTTAAAACATGCACTTGCTTCTCACAAAGAGAGTTCATTATCATAATAGGACAAGGCAAAATGCTGAGCTTAAATGAATGGCAGATACCTAAGGTAAGCGCCTGAGTCACTGAGGTCTGAAACCTAAGTTTGAAGCTCCAAGTAGGTTAAATGTGTGTGCTTTGACCTAAAAGGTGTCTTCAAAGATTGACCCAAAGGTACAATTCCATTTGACAGACCTAACTTTGATAGAAATGTTATTGTAATTTAAAAGGGAACAGATTTCCAGAAGTGCCCTAACTGCAGAATTTAGAGAAAGCAATGGTATTGGAATCTGATCTATTTTTCTCCAGGACTTTCTGAAGTGGTCTCTTTTGTGGTCTCAATAACTTGTTACGGATTTTGAGGAGCTCAGCAGCCCTTTGACCTTTGTTCTGTCTGCTGAGGGCATACTTCAGTGCTGTGAATACTGTAAGCAAAGCAGTTTGTTTTCACTTTCTTTTGCTATGAATAACCGTGCCTGTAGATTGATGCCTTCAATTATTGGTCTTGTCAGCAAACTCTAATAATAAAGTTTAACRTGGTGACCAGCCAAAATAGCCTCTCTATATGCTCAGCCCTTTCCATGGTGAGCATCTTCACCTCGCTTTCCACAGGCTTATTTAGGCACCATTTATGCATCAGTTTTCACTTAAGTTTTTGCTACCTCCAGAGAGGTATCTAGACATTACATACATATAAGCCACAAATTACAGAATAGAATACCCACTTAACACAGGTAAAAGTAGAAATATAAAGTGCCTGGTTAGTGAACAGAAAGAAACTAGATATCAAATTTGGCTTTTTTTTCATTTAATCATTTTATGTAACTTTCATTTATCTATTTATAATAGCTTTCTCAAGTGAGTCATTCAAAAACTTGATTTCCACTTGTCTGACTGAGAGCATTTTTCTTTAAACTTGAAAACATATCAGCATCAGTGATGTGCAACTAAATTTAATTTCATTGTAAGCCAAATACAAGCAGAATTTGCATTATTAGGAAGACATTGCAAAAATATTCTGTATTGTCGATCTAAATACGCCAGTTCCCTGAACCGTCATGCTTCAGAGGAAGCTCATTTTATGTTTGCAATTTTATGCCTAGTTATGAATGTAAAAGAAAATAAAAATCCACTCSCTATCCCCTAGAA